ATACTAGACCAACCGGGATTCAAACCCAGCCACCTACAGCATGGTTTGCTTTATAGTAGCAGACTCTACCGACCGAGCTTATGGAGGCCCCCTGATCTATGAATTTAATCAAACTAAAATGCAAGATGGTAGCCTAATTAACAAGTTTTGAGGACAATTTGGATATCGAATTCAAACGTAAATAATGTGCATGATATGTTTAACCCTGTTTGGAGATGCTTTAAGAATCTGTGAACCTGGATGAGAATTTGATCTGAACTCAAGGACAATTTGGAGAACCGTTTACTTGACTTTGTGTCTAGGGCACTGTCGAAAGCACCTGCGGCTGTTGCGCAACGTGTTAAAAACTGGATTGGTCAATTTAATCGGTGATGGTCAAAAACCCACACTAAGGATCGATTCTTTAAGAAGAATGCAGAGCTTGAAAGCATATTCGAGGTAAGAATCCCTGGGCGTGCTTAATTTTAGAGAGTAGCATAAATTAACGAATAAAGGTTTTTAATACGATACCGTCGAACATTAAAAAAATTAACAGTTCGGAAAAAATTGTACCTGCTGAGCGAAGTGCTAAATTTTCAAAAAAAAAAAAAACAACGGATTCCAAACCAATTTAAATTGAACTTGAATGAAAATTAGTAAAAGCGTGGAAATGCGTTAATGTAAAGCAAGACATACTACTCATGAAATCTGTTTTTGTTCATGTTACTAAATAATCAATAGCATCAACCGCGATTAAAAGAAGATTTGATATTTGTATGAATATTTTATAAAAATCCTAAACAAAAACTACCGACTCTAAATTTTACGAAAAAATGCTTGGATATAATTCATCATCAATTATTTTATCAGGTCGAAGACCAACCCTCAGGATCCAGGCCTTCGAAAAAAACGCGGGTCCATTCAAGGAAACCCAAAGATCCCTCGTCATAATCATCTCCTATTTCACCTCCTTTTGCCACTCCGGATTTGGATACCAGTTCCAACAGTCAGCGAAGACCGTCAACCCTAAAGCCTCGAGGTCGAAAGCGCAAGGAGTTTAGCCAGTTGACAAGATTTTCGAAATACAGACGCAGTATCGGACTTTTCAAAGAACAAGGTCTTGATAACTTGCTGTATTCAGCCAAAATTGCTGCCATAAAGGCTGCTAATCCAGCAACTGCTCAAATCTTACAGCACTTGTTGAGCGGTGGTGAGGTTTGGGCAAAAGAGACCATCGAATCCATTGACTCTGTTCGTGGAACATCTCTGTGTTCGGAGGAGTCATCTATGGCGATAAAATCAAAACTTGGTTTAAGTAAAATCAAATATGGAGAACTGGCTCGATTCACTAAGAAGCATCTAGGTATGGCAGTTTAATTAACGTATATATAAAAAAAAAACTTAGTAGAATATTTTTTTGTTTAAAATAGGTCAAGTTTCTAAATCTTTCATCAATTTTAGAGATGTGCATTGTTATTAGTCCCTTCATATTGTCCCATTTAGGTATTGCAATTTTGCAGCCCTGGAAAAAAGTAGCTGAATTTAGAAACGCCATAATTCCACCGTTCTCAACTCCAAACCGAGAAAAAGGATACTTATCATCAAGCGTTTCAATCCGTGATATGCTTATATGCGATTTGCAACGGATTCTACAACTGGATGATGTAGCAGACAGGATTTCAAAGTTAAACCAGAAAGTGTTGACTTGTAAATTGCATGTCACGGCTGGTCCGGACTCTGCTACAGGTTTTACGCACTACAACCAGACTGGCTTTTTAAAAGAGGATGATTCTCTTCTCTCCGAGCATTTTATGAGCCTGTTGTTAGTATCCGAAAGAGGAGAGGATATTTGGCGGAACCCGAAACCCCAGTCAGATTCGTTCTGCAGAATACGCTCTATTAATTGGACTAAAGAGACCAACTCGCTTACCAAGTCCATGTTTGAAGCAGTTTTTTGCAGAGGTTGATTCCTTGAATCTGGATCACAAACATATTCATTTCAAATGCTCACTAGCGCCATCTAGCGAGAGAATTCCGGATTGTTCCTTGACCTCCTTATCAACTTTGCCGTAGAAATCATCCGTCTAAAAAGTCAGGATCTTGAGAAACAGCAGTACAAATATATTAACTTCAAATGCTCACTAGCGTCACCTAGCGGGGGAATTCCGAATTTTTTCTGTCCATCATCCAATAGTCATAGACCTCCTGATCAACTTTGCCGAAGAAATCATCCGTCTAAATAGTCAGGATCTTAAGATACAGCAGCACAAATATATTCACTTTCAATAATCACTAGCGCCGCATAGCGGAGGAATTCCGAATTGTTCTGTCCATCATCCAACAGTCCTTGATCTCCTGATCAACTTTGTCTAAGAAATCATCCGTCTAAATAGTCAGGATCTTGAGATACAGCAGCACAAACATATACACTTTGAATGCTCACTAGCGCCGCCTAGCGGAAGAATTCTGAATTTTTCTGTCTATCATCCAACAGTCCTTGACCTCCTGATCAACTTTGCCGAAGAAATCATCCGTCTATATCATCGGTATCTTGAGATACAGCATTCAAATCATGCAAAATAGGAGATTTTAGGGCAAAACTGTGAAAAACCCCAACTTACCCTATCGTGCCCAAGATGAAACCCACTCCAATCGATTCCTGAGACTTTTTTTTCTATAAGAATGACTATTTTTAGTCTCTTGTTCCAGCGAGCACCGAAGTTATTGAATTTTAACACATTGTTTCGATTTTGTCCCCAGTGTGCGCCGTTGGGAATTCCATCCGGGCCGGGAGCTTTCTTCACCTTTCGCTGCTGCTAGGAGTTCCTAGTTGGAGAATTGTTCAACGTTGTCTCCATCTTCCTCGCCATATGGTGTAGGTGGCCAAGTCGTTGGGTCATGCAGTGGGAAAAGTCCCTCCACGATGACTTTCAGCTTGTTGGGACACATTTCAACCGGCATCGTTGGACCGCTGATCTTCGCGTTGCGGCACAGCTCCTTGAAACTATTTGACTTGCTCAGCTTTATCTTTCGTTTCAGTGCAGCCTCTCGGAACACCACCCTGTGCTCCTCTCTGTCTACTTCTGTTCTTGCTCTCTGAACGCACCTTCTGGCTAGAACACAAGTAGCACGGAGGGTGCTAATGTCCTCGTTCCACCAGTAAGCTGGACGTCGCCTGTTCGTTGATCCCAGTTTTCTCGGCATAGTTGTGTCACATGCCCTTGCTAATGATTCGGTCAACTCGTTCGCGCTTAGACCCGGGACGCTGCTGTCTTCCCTTAGAGCTTCGATGAAGAGTCTTTCGAACTTTCGTCCTCCGCATTTCCATCGGTGCCCGTTCGCCGATACTGTACCGGATCGCCTGATGGTCACTATGGGTGTACTCTTCGCACACTCTCCAGTTCATATTTGCCACTAGCGATGTACTGCAGAAAGTGACGTCGATAATGGATTCCCTGCCATCTTTGCGGAAGGTGCTGATGGTTCCTAAGTTGGCCAGACTGACGTTCAACTTTGCCAGAGCTTCCAGCAGGCTATACCCTCTTACGTTGGTACACCTGCTCCCCCAATCCACTGTCCAAGCATTGAAATCTCCTGCGATGACGACTGGTCTCCGTCCAATGAGCTCTCCGGTGAGCCCATCTAGCATCTGGTGGAACTGCTCAATTGTCCATCTCGGGGCTGCGCAACAACTAAATACATCCCAAGTAACAATTAGGGTTTTATGAGGGTTCTGTAGAGTATGAATTAGACTTGTAGCATGCTTTAAAACAGTGATAAAACTTGCAATGTTACTTGGGATAGATTCCATTGATTTTGGCGATCACGAAACCTTCGTATGAGCTCGCCACCACTTGTTGAATGGGATACCTGCCCATGACTTATATGGCCACCATTCCTGCTCTATCCGCCACCCAGTTACCATTATCAAGAGGGACTCGATATGGCTCTGCAATGATAGCAACGTCGCACTTTGTTTCCGTTGTCGACTGCCAAAGAACTGGAAACGTGAAATGGCCGATCTGAGCAAGGAGATTGCTTCCAGAATGGTCTCATTACGGAATGAAAGTTTCGGGCGACTCGTCCAGAATCTGGACGACCCCTCCAGACCATTCTGGAAGGTTTCCAAGGCCCTAAAGACGCACCCCAAACCCATTCCACCACTCAAAGATGAATATGATGACGATCGGCTCATAATCACCCCTCAGTAGAAAGCAAATGCGATTGGTGAGCATATTGCAAAATCGCGCTTGCTTGGCTCCAACATCCAAAGTCCGCTCGAAGATCAGGTTGCGCAATGCGTACTCAAGGATCTCAGTGGAACAGATTTGCTCAGCGCTGAAATGCACCAAAAACATGAAGGCCTCCGGGTTCGACGGAATATTAGATTAAACAGTGTGGAGCCATTCTAACCCCTGGGGTGCGTTTGGGATTGTCCTATCTAACTATCATACATGGTTAACGTCAATTTATTTCTCTTAAAATCCTAGTGATATCATAATGTAAACGAACATATCAACTTTGTGCTACAGGCGTACTCCAAATGAACATTTCAAGAGGTTCTATCTGCATTGATCGATTCTATTCATAGTCTTTCTCTTTTGATACCGTCTTTTGCTAAAAGAAATTCTTATCTAGCGTCCAAAGCACCGAACATTAACGAACGGGAAAGCCGATGAAGAGAATCGATCGGATAGGACCTTTTGAAGAGGCCTATTCTGCGCCACAAGTGAGGTGAGGTGACTCACATGAGGTCACTAGGTCACGTTTGGTTGCACAAGTCTAGAGGACTATTTGTAAAATTTAAAATGCACATTCATAATGGACTTAACTGACTATGTTCTGCCAAATCTGAAGTACCCACGACATTTGTCTTGCGTACGACCGGAACTATTATTCTGAAGACTTTCAACGGTTCACGGAATAGTTCAACTCAGACTTCCTCTAAAAACGTTTTGGAGGCGAACCAGCCTAAGGCTGAAAGCCTCCTAAATAAAGCTAAATTAATTAATTAATTCCTCTAAAAACCATCATTTTGGACATTTCGTTAATTGTAGGAAAGATTGTTACGATACAGTTGTCTCTAGATGGTCACATAACGCTACCATTTAACTAAGATCCTTCCATTGAACAGTGATGCCTGTTGCTTTTCAGGACAAACGCTGCAGCTCGTTGAATATTGCAGTGGAGTTCGATTATATTTATCTACAGCATTGATAGATGCTCCGCCTCTTAGTAGCAATAAGGCACATTGGTAACTGCTCTGCAGTACTGCCTCGTGTAGTGGTGTTCGGCCGAGGCGCTCATCTACCGCAGTAACATCCGCGCCAAAAAGAAGAAGAGTTTGGACGCACATGGCTGAAGTTGCCTTGTTGGCTCTGATTGTGGCATGCAGCATCGTTTTGCTTATTTCTGCACGCTTATCAAGCAGCAAATAAACTGCACCCACATGGCATTCTTTCAGGGCCAAATCCAGCGGTGACTGGCCCTGTGGATCTTTAGCATTCACTTCTGCATTTTTTTCCAGGAGAATTGATATGCAACCAGTGCTGCCGGCTTTAGCGGCTGCATGGAGCGGAAACTCGAGAGTGTCAAGATTTTTCTGAACGGCAAGAATGAATTCGGCTATCCCGTAGGAGCCATGATTCAAAGCAAGCTGGTAGGTGCAGAGTCCCGACCGTTCGTCTATCTCGCAGATTGAGGTCCCTGCTTGGTGCATCGCCTGGACAATATCTAAGTGGCTGCGTTTGATGGCCCAAATCAGTGTCTGATTCGCGTCTGACTTGTAGGCTTTTGCTTCGTAGCTCACCAGCAGCATTACTAGATCACGAAATTTACGCGACACTAGATGCCCAAGAAACATGAGCCATTTTTTCGCTCCACCGGTCTTCATTTGTATCTTCCTGGTTAGCAGCGTTCGTACGACATCAATGTGGTTGTTGAACGATGCAATATGTAAGGCATTCCAACCACGTGCACTCAGTATATTCAGGTCGCATCCTCTGTTTATGAGCAATCGAACCACGTGGACATAACCGGCCTGAGCTGCCAAAAACACTGGTGTCTGCTGGTGATGATCAATAGCATCGACGGTTGCTCCTCGGGCAATCAATAGACTCACCACCTCGTAGCATCCATTGGCAGCGGCTTTGTGTAGAGCTGTTTGCTTGTGGACATTCTGAGCATCTACGGATAGATTGTTGTTGATCAGAAGGGCACATATCTGCCCGTGATCTTGTGTTGCTGCAAAATGCAGAGGAGTTTCCCGGTGTACTGTAGTATTATTGATGACCGTTGGATCTTCCTGAATCAAACGTTTGACCAATTCTTCAAAGTTTTCTTCGCAAGCCCACAGAAGTGGATAAGGTCGCATGGACCACAGCAGCATTTCCAACTTGCCCAAGCATTCCTCGTGCTGGCGTGCGATGATGAAAAAGAACTTCCGAACAGTCGGGTAGTCCCGCAAGACCTGGTAGTACAGATCAAACATGTTCTTCAGATTGTGCTTCTTCCGAGGAACCCTTTTCCTGGCATTCTTCACGAAATTATTCTTGATCTGTTCATGGTTCATTCGTCTAAGATACTGGAACAAACACTTTGCTGCGAAGAATTCAGCAATCGACCCGTGGATAAAATGCGGCACACGACTGACAATTGGTGAATCTAAAAGCGGAATCTGTTCCTGCATTACCTGGAGCTCTTGCTCGTCAGGAACGATCAGATGCATCTTGTTGCCCTTAACCAAGCTCATCAGACCCAGAAAGCTGTGCAGTTTGATGAAGCCTCTGTAGAGAAAGTTGCTCTGATTCAGCATGAGCTGAGTGTAATGATTGACAATCGAAAGATTCTGCTTAACGATGTTTTGTCGCTGGAAGGAGCTGTACACGAATTTCTCAAAAAGCTCCATGATATCCAATGCTTCCAGATCGATCTGACCAAGAACTTGAGGATCCTTGGTTTTCTGGTATTGTTTCGTGTATGGTTTGTAGATCTCAGCCAACATTTCGACCATCAATGGAACGCCCACGAATTTGCTTGCAATCTTCATCGACTTGCTGTGAATCCTGTCCATTAGCCGATCGACAAATTGGGACAGTGGACGAGCTCTCATAGCGTCTTCATCGAGGAAGTCGCAAAAGCTTTTGAAGAGAACCGTCTGTTCGGATTTGCTGATGGGCCTCAAGAAGAATGCATCCACCTTGAAAGCTCCTTCTAGTTCCACCTGAAGTCGGGTACGGGTGTTCACAAATACTTGCGTGAAATTCTGCAGCATGCGCATCAAGACGATTGTAGGTCCCGTGGATGCAAATGGTAGTTCATCGAACCCGTCGAAGAAAACGTAGATGTTGTTGGGCATTCCGTGATGATACTGCAGCAGTGACCTATCCAGCTGCGGGAGTCTGAAATGATTTCCAAGAAAGTCTGTCACATTCGGTTTCCTGCTAGCGCGCAAGTCCGTCTCACAGTCTTGCAGGTTGATATAGAAAACCCATTTCGTTTTGAAACGGGACTTTGCCAAATTAGCTAGTTTCATCCACAGAGTAGTTTTCCCCATTCCAGGGGTCGAAGAGAGAACAACCACCCTGCGTTTGTCCGGAGTAGTCGGTAAGTTATAAAGAAATTGCTCTTCGTTGTAGCTACCATTTTCGTCAGTGCCATCGCCTAGCGTAGTATCGTTGAGAGTTGGTTGTAGGTTCTCTGCTTCGTTAGCCAAATCATCAGTATCCGAACGTGTTATGATCCTCGGGATGTAATGTTTGATTCCAAGCTCCGGCAGTGTCGGTCCGATCGTAACAATCTCGTCTTGCAGTAGTTTCTCGAGTGTATCGTTTTTGATGACCTTTCCTAGAACCGCATCATCGGCCAAATCGCTCAATTTCATCTCGAATCCTTGAAAGAGTACCGTCTTGTTCCTCAATATCTGCTGACTGGACACGGTCAGTTCATCCAATGTGATATCCTCCTCTTCGACAAGGGTGTAAGAGTGCTCGTTGAAAAACTTAGAAGCTGATTCATCGCAGTCCGTGAGTAAAATGAGTTTGATCGAGTTTCCCGAGACCATTGCATCAAGTATCTCCGACGCAAACTCCAACTTGAAACAGTCAGCCTTGAGCAGTAAATAAAAGCTGCTCTTCGATTCCCGTAGAGCTTCGCACAGCTCCGTCCGAATGGAATTATTCTGAAGATCCTTTAGGGAAAAGTAATGGAAATTGTGTGCTTGCAATGCCTGGAACACTTTGAGACTGTTTAGTAGACCGTTCCGAGTGCTGGTGACAATGGCTACAGGGTATGCCTCGGGAAAGGGGAGCACCGGATCTACGAAATCCACCCGAAAACTGTGCATTTCTCCACGAAAAAGATCGGTTGGAACGCTAAGCCTTGAACTGGATATGGTGCGTTGAAAAGTTTGGAACTCATTTTCCAGATCATGTCTGCGTAGCGACATGCATGGGACTGTAGTGGAATCTAGACAAACGTGAACTCGGTGTTGCATCGTACTATAAGCAAGCAAGGCGTAAGTGTTGTCAGAGCTCGGTCCGTGTACCGGAGAAGTCTGCCGCAATTTTAGATCATTTATGATTGCCTTTTTTAAACCAACGTTATCCGGTTGATTGATTGCAAATATCAACGAACTGAGAAATTCTTTCACTTCTACTTCGTCTATCGATGGAGGCAACGTATTGACAGACTTTCCTTTCGAGTCAAGAATCGTCAACAGTTCTTCATTCGGTGCACAGTACGACTCTAGCTGTTCCAATGTGGCTTCTTCCTGAAAAAGCTTGCCGCGAAAAACGCGTTCGGCATGGCTCAGTTTGTTCTTATTCTTAATGAACCGAGGAGAAAATCTTACCCAACCCTTTTCGGTGACCAATATCTGGTTTGCTATTGCACCACGGTACTTTTTCACTAAATCCAAGTTCATCCCTTCTTTACGCTCGATGAGAACTGATCGAATAATTTCCGTCAATCCTTTGAAATCGCTGTTTCCATGCTCGAGCAGTTTCTCACAGTGTTCATCCTGTGGTATCAGCTTCATGAACCGTTCGCCATTCAGTCCCAGTTTCAAGATGCACTCAATCTCATTTTCTGCATCTGTGAACCAGTCCTGTATGCACTGTGCCAAACCACAATTCGTATATATTACAAACTGCTTGTTTCCGACGAAATCGTCGAGGTGCATGATTTCCCAAAATGATTCCAGATATTTATGCAATGAAAAGTCACCCTTACACTTATCACTCTCCGCGTCCGGGAATAGATGTTTTCCATCGAGTTGCACCGGCATTAATCTATGTTTCACTTGAACGAACAACCAATTCCACGAGCTATTCTCGTTCTGCCACGATAGAACTGCATCGTCGAACTTTCCAGCGGCTTTCATTTCCGTAGCCAGTCGAAAGTCACCATATCTTCCATACCGATCGGAGATTGCCCTCTCGTAGAGCAGCATCAGTACGTGCACTTGGTAGGCGTCTCCATGGCGCGCACCGCCCAGGTTTCCTTCCTTCTTGTACCCTCCAGCGCTATCCATTGGAATCTACAAACATACACGGATAAACAGTAGCAGTGTAATCAGCAATCACTTATCGAGGTGGGCTACATCATCGGTAATAATAATCGTATTCTTACCAATTGTGAAAAATATTATCTACGATTAGTCACAACCCGGGTTGAGTGAAAAATTGCACGTACAGAACAATCCAAACTTTCGACCGTGAATGCAAAAATCCGCGTCTGACTAAGCTCGCCAGTAACGGGTAACTGCGTTGTAGAGAAGAAGTTTGCGCGAGTTTCGCGAGTTTACTCGCGAATTTTTCGCACACCACAGCAGGCGACGCCGTATGACGCAGTCGTCTGCCACTCTGACGAGCACGTTCAGGAGAGGAGAGCGAGAAATGAATTGATTGCATTGATTTGAGTGTATGTATTAGTCGTTTAGGTGGGTGTAGCGATAATTATCATTAATGAGTCCACACGCGAAGCAAGTGACAAATACACACTTCAATAATTGAATTATTGTTCTATGATTAAGAATGAATTACAAGCTGAACATTGCACTAGGTCCTAAGTAACATTGATCGATTCTCTTCGTTGACTTTCCTTTTCTTTAATAACTTTATCACATGACTGTTGTACCTCGTACAATATGTACTTCTTCTTCTTCTTCGCATTTCAAGCTTATTGCATATCGCATATAAGCTTATTGTGTGTTCTCAACTTAGTGTTCTATAGATGCACTTCCACAGTTGTTAATTGAGAGCTTTCGATGCCTGTGCCATTTCTGCATTAGTATAATTGTGTGGCAAGTCCAATCATACTCTATGCCCAGGGAAGTCGAGGAATTTTCCAACCCGAACAATTCAGCCACCTTCAGCATGGTCTTGCTTTGTAGCTGCGCCTTTACCGACTGAGCTAAGGAAGGCCCAATACGTAATTAAACAATAAATTACACTCAGGGTTGTGGTTGTGGGTAGGGCTGGGACTCAAATTATCCGGATATTTTTAGTTTTCAATTTTAGTAAATTTTGAAAATTAACAGATCTGCCATTCTACATCAGGTCACATGGGAACATAAAAACCAACTTTTTGACAAATATTTAGAACAGTTAAAAAGAAAACTGTTAAAGGGAGAATATTTCACTATCCGGATAGTTACTATCCGTCTGATAACCATCACAACGTTTCTCAATTTATTTTATTTCAATATCGGGCACTAGAAAGCATGACATTCTGTTTACTGAATATCAATTCAACGATGTTTCATTTGTATGAAAGTAATTTTATTGAAAAAACTTAAGTACTCAAGTTTTAAATCTGTATTTAAGGAGTGTAAATTGTCCAAAAAAATACATTTAATGCTTTATGTCGCTGGTTCATAGTGTTCTTTGACTATTACTAAATCAGTAATATCAATATTGTGTTCGAAGTTGCCTGAAAAAAGATTATTAGATTGAGTGGTATACTACAAAATAAACAGGGAAATAGCTGTGCATTGTGTTGTTGCTGAATTGACCGTTGAATGCTGCTGTTGTTGTTGCTGTATGGTTTGGTTTTAAAAAATAAAGTATATTTGAGTTTTTTTTTGCATTTAGTTTGAATTAGTTCTAATAGTGCACACTATTTGGTTCTTTTTATTTAGTGCGGATGAAACTCATGTTGGGTAGTTTATTGTTGAATCGGTAGATTTAGTGAAAATTTAGTGAACAGGCGTCGTACACAATCTAGCCGTTGGTTCGCGCTTTGGTGTATTGATGCTAAAGTAGCTCTATTAGTAGCACACAGGGTGGTTAGATCGTCAGATTTGGTGAAAATTTAGTGAACGGGCGTCGTACACAATCTAGCTAGTTGGTTCGAGCTTGGTGTATGGGTGCTGAAGTAGCTCGATTAGTAGCTCACGCTGTGGCTCTGTTGAACCGACAAATAAATGAAATGCATGTTGTTGAAGCTCCCACAGAATAAACAGATTTGGTAACAAACAGAGTGAACGGGCGTCGTACACAATCAAGCCGTTGGTTCGAGCTTGGTGTATTGGTGCTGAAGTAGCCTGCTGGTAGTAACACTTTGCGTGGTTCTGTCGATTTCTAGCAAGGGCGAAATTCACTGCGTGCAACATTGTACGCAAGTTTGAGTAGTCCTGGTTTGGATAGGCAGATTTGGCCGAAATTAGAGCAAACGAGCGTCAGGTAAACTCAAACCTACTAAACTTTTTGGAAAATATCTAAAATTCAATCTATCTATAGTAATCTATCAACGGAAGCAAAAGTAACTTTAAAATAAAGTTGTGTTGCCACATACAGTCAATAATGTTTTTCCGAGTACTTTGGTACAATATTGGGGATTTACTGGCTTGTTATCTGTCAATAAATACTTTGTACAGGTGTGCGTAGTAACTTTTGTTTTTTGTACTTGTTTATGTTTTGTGTGGATGTATTTTTGACTTGCTCTAACTGATTTTGTTTTTTGTTTGTTGTTTTAAACTGGTCATCATGGAAAGCGAATGTGCAATTTGTGTGGAATGTAATAAAATTGAAAAGGATGCCAGTAAAATAATAACCTGTATGTATTGTTTTTCTGAAGCTTATTATAAGTGCCGCAATATTACCGGGAATGCTGTGCGACGCATTAAAGAGAGGATGTACTTCTGCTCTCACAACTGTTCGAGCATTTATCAACGGATCATTGAGATGCAGAACCACAAATCATCAATCGTTGAATCGCTTGCCGTTGAGCTAAAGGGAGCAGTGGCTAGTGCTGTGTCCCAGGAAATTCAAAATTTTAGATGTGAGGTGAAACAGATTACGACTGCAATAGAAAAGTCGCAAGACTTTCTATCGTCTAAATTTGATGGCATCGTGACCGATTTTCATGAGTTGAAGAGAGAGAATGAATGTTTAAAGCAAAATATCGACAAATTGAAGGATACTCAACAAATTTTGTCGAAAACGGTACATAAGCTGGAACACCAAGTAGATAAAAGTAACCGTGATAAAAATTTCAATAATGCGGTAATTCTCGGTGTCCCATTTATTCCTGGTGAAAATACTAAAGAAATTGTTCAAAAAGTTATTGCTTGTTTTGGCGTAACTGTAAATTCTGATGAGATAGTTTCTGCCGCTAGGTTAAATGCTAAAAATAAACCAATACATTCGCTGGTACCTATTCGTGTTGTCTTTAAAAACGAAAATATCAAGGAGATTATTTTCTCTAAAAAAAGGGGAATCGGTAAGCTACTCTCATCATCAATCGATCCAAGTTATATGATCAACGCTAAACCAACAACCGTCACAATGCGCGATGAATTGACCCCACTATCCATGGAGCTTTTAACTGAAATGAGAGGGTATCAGGAGAAGTTGCAACTAAAATATGTTTGGTGCAGTAGAGGGGGAAATGTATTAGTAAAGAAAAATGAGAATTCTAAGCCTGAGATTATAAAAACTAGGGATGATATAATTGAATTGGTAAGCCGTTATAGCGAAAAATCTCCGTCAAAAGAAACTCCTTCTCCCAAGAGGAAACGTAACGATAATAACTCCAATAAGTAATCTTTTATAAATGTATGTGTTTTATGATTTTCTTTGTCAATTTGTAAACTAAATAAAATAAAATGGCTAATGGAATAAATTATTACCATGATTGTATTGATGAGTTTAATTTAAATTATGATGATGATGATGGTCCCACCTCTTACCCCTACAAAGGTTTGAGCTGGACGATTTATCTTTAAGATAATTAAATATAAACATTTTAACCAGGTTAGCAAACAAAAACGAGCTGGTTACAGTTACAGATATAAATTCCCTCTAGACTTTACAGTTGCTTCACAGCAATATACATAAATTTGAAAAAGCTTAGGCGTCCACCTCTTAGTTCGCCTTTTTGTCCACCTAGAATATTCATAAGTATTACAAGCAATCAAGAGTTAATGAACAATCAACAAAGCATCCTATACACTAGCAACCCCGCAATGATGCTATTATAATTTTCAGCAATGTCAGGAATGCTCACGAACCCCCGACATTCAGCCAGAAAACTTAATACTAACTCAAAGTATCTTCCAAATAAGCTTCAAAGTTGCATTTTTTTTTTTATCAAATGTTAAATTCAGTCCTCTATATCCGTAATACGCGCGCGAGGCTCAAACCTTTGTAGACTACTACTTTTTTTTTTAACTACTACTTTAATTCAAATATAAAAAAAAAAAATCCATCATCACCATCGTGGCGAACAAAATAGTTTTTGCAGTGCTACAATAATTATTAAAAAGTCGTTATGACAGCTATCCATACAAAATAATCCGTTATAAATAACTTCGTCAAGATACATACTTCGTCCATTCATAAAAAAAAAAAAAAATCACTGGATAACTGTTCAAAAGACAGTTTTAACGTGTGAAATACAATGTCTCTTGAATTCTGCTAATGTTGTTGCACGTTTAATATGTCTAGGCATCGAATTGAAAACATTTACTCCTTTAAAATACAATGAATTCTGTGAAGCGCAAGTCAAGAAATGTGGTGTTCTTATTTCATCCGCGTTTCTAGTATTATATCTATGAAAATCACTTCCTCTTTCAATTCGATCACACAAATATCGAGGCAGCAAACCATTTACTACTTTAAAAATGAACACCATAGTCAAATAAACTATTCTTTGCTTCACTGACAGCCATTTTAAAGCGTCCAGCATCAAAGTTGAGGAAGTGAATCTATTACATCGCAAAATCAAACGCATTATTTTATTCTGCAAACGCTGTAATCTCGATATTTGTGTTTCATTGGCTAGAAATAAAATGGATGGGCAAAAGTCTAGATGAGGAGAGATGATTGATTTGTATAGCTGTATTTTACTGGCAATAGTTAAATCGTTTTTCAGTCGACATAGAATTCCATACTTCTTGGCAATTTTCTTGATGACATTGTCAATGTGAGAGTTGAACTTAAGTTTGTCATCAATAATCACGCCAAGATATTTAATCTCCCGAACGCGATCAATAGCCTCATCATCAATTACCACGGAGACATTATCATTTACTCGGTTCCGCGAAATTACCATGAATTTAGTTTTACTTGTATTTAATTTCAACTGCTTACACTTCAACCATCTACTTAGAGAACGCAAATCTTCATTCAAATGTGAGACGGCAACTTCTAAATCCTTAGCTACAATGAATAACACAGTATCATCTGCAAAAAGATTAATGTCGCAAAATCGTAAAATGCGTCGCAAATCATTAATATACATAATAAATAAAAGAGGCCCT